GACGTGGAGCTTGATGGCGCGGGATCACAGAGGAGGGTTAATTGCCAATGCAAAGCTGGCCGCCAGCAGCCCAGCCACGGCCGCGAGCGGGCGGCTGTGCCGGGTGGTGGCAGCGGCACAGAGCTGGGCTGTCGGAGGAAATCAGCTTACTCACGGAGCTGCCGGATGAAGCCGTGCGTGGCTTCTGGCCCTGCCGCCTGCCAGCCCTGGGCTGGCTCACGGCGCTGGAGATGCTCCCACTGCCCGGTGGGAAGGAAGTCACAGGGTTCCTGCCCTGGGTGCCCGGCGCCTGCTTGCCGGAAGCCTGGCTCCAGCAGGCTCCGCTGTGCCAAATCCCACCAGCCCTGGGCGTGTGGGCACCCAGGTGAGGTGGGAGGTGCAGGCAGCCAGCTCCACATGGTTCCCATGGCCCAGCAGCCACAGTCCCCTCACACCAGCCCAGCACGCAGCTGTGCTGCTAGCGGGTGATCCCAGGTAGAAACAGGTCACCACACTGCGAGGCACAGACCAGCACCTATGTGCACGCCGCTCTCACCGTGGACCACCCTGTGGCACCGTGGATGCCGGACTGGGGTGTGAGGCAGGGCCGGGGTCCCAGCTGCCCCCTCTGTTGCATCCCACGGCCTGGAAGCCCACGTGCTGGCGGCAGGGGCTACCTGGCAGGAAGCGCCTGAGTCAGCAGCCGGCACCGGGTGACTCAGCCAGCTCCTCTCCTCTCCTCCTGCGTGGCAAACCTCCCTCCCGGCCTCAAGATCACTCCAATATCATCTGCCGACAGCAGCCCCAGCCTCTCTGGCCCCATCCCAGTCCCTCTTTCTCTGGCATGGCCATGGCGAGGATGTGCCGGTGGGCGTGAGGGCCGTGCCGGGAGGGCACTGTCCAACATGGGCAGGGTGAGCATGGCGGGGCCTGGCACCCAGCCCTGCTGCAGCACAGCTGTGGCAGCTCCCTGGGGAAGGGACAAGGACACGGAGCTGGTCTGCTTGTCCCTGCTTGCCCTAGAGTCCAGCACTCCGCTTGCTGTGGCTGTGCCACCCCAGCATCCCCTGCACAGTGGCCAGGGGCTGCAGGGGCTGCAGCAGGCACCATCTGGGGTGGGGGCTACAGCCTGCTGCCCCCCCAGCACCTGTCACACCCGGGCAGACAGTGGTGGCAGTGGGCAGAGTGGTGATGGAGAGCCAAGCATAGGGCTGATGGCACGTACAGCTGGGCCACAAGGAGCTGTAAATGCCCCATGCTGAGCCCCGCTGTTCCAGCAGCCACAGGAGCACCCGAGCACACAGCGGGCATGGGGCTACCACACACCCCAGCCCCTCTGAGGGACCTGCACCCCAGACTTGCCCTTGCTAGAGCCCTGACAGGGTCTTGCAGCATCCCTGGGGCTTAGCGCTGCTCAGCCCCAGTGGCATCTCACCGTCCCTGAATGCTGCCTTTGCCTGGGCCGCACTGGCTCTGCCATTGTGGCCTGTGCCTGGGGTGCCTGTGTACAGCCAAGGGCGAGTGCGTGGGGGTGCACGCAGGAGCGCACGTGCTGGGGCTGTCAGCGTGCGCAGGGGCTCCTTGGTGCGTCACCGTGCTGGCGGCTGTGCGCATGGTGCACCCAGGGTGCCCTGGGCACTGGGGTGTTTGGGCACAGGCTGGCTCCATGGGGGTGCCGGGAGAGGTGTGAGGGGCGATGGAGCCGATGGCAGAGCATCTGTGGGACTGGGCAGGGGCCTGACCTAGAGTGGCAGGTCGGATCCAGCACCCATACTGGTACAGGATGGCAGTGCCAGAGTCCCCACCAGCCCCGCTCCAGGCCCGGTGGCAGATCTCTGTGCTGTCCATTACCAGTGCTTAAGTGACATTAATCCGATCGAGGGGTGACATGCAGCATCAATATCCTGCTCCCGCCATACATAGATCATGCTGCAATTAGCATCTGTGGCTGCCAGGACCAGGAGCACTGGAAGAGGTGGAAGGGAGTGACACGGGGTGGGGGAGCAGTCTGGGGGTGACAGGGACAGGTCCATGCTGTGACCTGCCCCAGGTTGTCCCCATGCTCCTGCCTTGACCCTGCAGGTGATGATGCCAGGGGAACTGCAGCCTCTCGGTGCCCAACAGGGGCTGGGGATGGGTGCAGGTGTCCCAGAAAACATGGGAGCCATCCTGGGGACTCCCAGCTGGCACTCAGCTCAGCAGTGCGGGGCTGCTCCAGCTCTGCCCTGGGGATGTGCAACCAGCTCTGGCATTGCCCACCCGTCCCTCGGGGATGGCCTGTCCCCGTCCCATCGCGGGCTGGAGCCACGGTAGTAGGTGACCCCACTGGCCTGGGCTCGGGGAGAGGGGCCAGATGCACACAGTGACCCTGCTCTGCTGTGGCCTTGGTGCCAGGCAGAAGCGCAGGGAAGCAAACGAGCTAATAAATTGGGGAGTGGCGGGGGGGGCTCAGGATAAAGCATGCAGGCACAAGAGATTTCAGGGCCTGAAATATTCATCAGGTTTGATGCGGCGCCCGCCGTCATGCCGGCCGTGAGTGATGGTGCGGGGTAGTTTTAATAATGCATCGCTTATAAAAGGCTTGTGAGAGGGGCTGGGGGCGGGGGCGAGGGTGGCCATGGCTCAGCGATCGCCTGAGACGCAGCAACCTGGCAGAGACCACAGAGAAAATGGGTGGTCCCTCCGCCCACTGCAGCCGCCCCAGCCCCATGCTGCTGGCAAGGTGATGCCACAGGGCTGGGATTTGGGTGCCCGGCAGGGGACAGTGCAGGTGGTGCCAGTGACACCACCTGGGGACAGCCTGGCACAGCCAGCAGAGCATGGAGAGGTGCTGGGGGGAGTGGGGTGCCCTGTGCCACCGGCACCCACCACCCAAGGGGGTGCCAGAGGCCCCCCAGGCAGGTGCACTGTCCCTGCGGCTCAGCAGTGGGTGCCTGGCCACGCCATCTGGACTGGGTGGGGGGGTCCCATGCCCAGGTGCAAGTGTGGCCCCATGCCCCCCGTGCAGGGTGTTGGTGTTGCAGCTGCTTCATGCTCCCTTGCTAAATAATTCAGTGCATCGATCTGCCTCCTGCTGCGCCTGCTTCTGGCCATGGGCTGGCCACGGGCCGGCCACGCTCCTGCCAGCTGCTGGGACCTGGCTGTCCCCATCCCTGTCCTCGGGCTGGGACCAGCACGGACCTGGAAGGTTGCCTGCGGTGGGGCTGCGCACACCGGCCCCATGCCAGCCGAAGCCAGATGCTGGCCAGGCAGCACGGGGCTTTCGCGTGGCTGACGAGGTCTTTGCCAGGGAAGCTCATTGGCAGCCTGATCAAAGGAGCACAGGGCGGATCAATGAAGGTGGGGAGCAAGGCACAGAGGCACTGCAGGACTCCTGCCATGAGGAGGGACCCCCTGTGCAGGAGCCTGCCAGCCCCCCCTGTCCTGCAGCCCCCCCCCTCCCCAGGGACTGACCTCTGCCCTGTGCCCGGGCATCATGCCTGCAGCTCCAGCCCTTGGTGCTGGGGCCCCTCCATCCCCTGCAGCATCCTCCCAGCTGGACATGTGCCTGGAGGGGACGGATGGGCAGCAAGGGCTGCGCGCCTGTGGCGCTTTGTGAGCTATCGCTCGCTGGCGCTGTGGTGAAGCCCTGGCATCCAGCCCCACTGCCAACCCTCACAGCACCCACTCCAGGTACCCTTGGAAAATGCTGCCCTGGGTGGGCATCGACCCCAGCCCCTGGCCTCACTGACTGCCTGCCCCAGGGATGCAGCGTGCCCGGGGGTAATGCCATGTCATTTGCACCAACCCATTACTGTCCCAATCCTCCTCCCAAGTGCTGCTGAGTTGCAGCTCTGCTAGCCTCCCACCAGCTGGGCTGGTGCCAGCCCCAGAGTCCCGGGATAGACCCAACTCTGTCTAAAACCAATTAGAGGCAAGAGGACAGGAGCCTTAAAACCCAGGCAGGATCCCTGCCCATGTGCCCTGGGGCAGATCCCATGCTGCAGGCTGGGGCTCCCATGGGCCACCAGCCCCGTCCCCAGGGATCCAAAGAGGATCCCATCACAGGGACACAAGGGCCCAGCAAAGCCAGCTCCAGCACCGCAGGCCCTTAGTATGCAGCAGGTGCGGGCAGCACCAACAGAGCCGGTAGCTGAATTGTGCTGCCACTGCAAGGGCAGCTCCTGCCCATCCCAGCTCTGGCACAGCAGGATTATTGTCTGTCAGGATTACAGCAGGCTGGGGAGGGTGGCAGCCCTGCTGAGCTGCTGCCGGCGCCTTGGCACGCACAAGGGCACGGGCAGGTGGACAGACACCCCAGCACAGAATGGAGATGCGTGCAGGCAGCGTCTGCGTGCACCCGTAGCCCCGGGTGTGCAAACCCACTGGTACCTGGGCTGGTGAGCGTGCACCCCATGCTCCTGTGCACCCTCCCCGCTGCGCTGGCTGCCGCCCTGGCCCTGGGCCAGCAGAGATAAGCAGTGGTGCCCTCTGCTCCGACCCAGCAATGGGAACTGGCCAGTAGAGATGCAGCCACCCACCTGGCCCCCAGTCCCGGCCCTGCAGGGTGTGGGTGGGATGCAATGGCCCCTGCACACACGTGCCATGCCAGTGCGAGCCACCACGCCTGGTGTGTGTACCCTCATTGCTATGGCAGGTGCAGGCTTGGTGCGTGCAGATCTGGCTAATTAGCCGGTGTGGGCCGGCTCCCTCTGAAGCCCCTGCTGAGTGTTTTGCTAAATTATAACCTTGACGATGCGCATCATCAGGCGGCTGCATGGGGAACAGCTGGCTCTGGCCCTGTGCACCCAGTGCTGAGCACCAGTGCAGCAGTGCAGAGCTGCCTGGCTGAGGTGGCAACACACCGGAATGGCATCACACCGGGGTGGCATCACGCTGGGGTGGCATCCCACCACGTGCCCACAACTGCCGGGTGATGCGGGAGCGGGACTGAGGCAGGTGATGGGCTCTGTGGTGTGGCCCTAGGGTGCCAGGGAGCCAGTGTCCTGTGCCTGGTGCATCGTGCCCAGTACCCAGCTCACCTGCTGCTGTGCTCCTTGGGGCTTGGCACACGTCCCCTCGGCTCGATGTGTCCCCTCGGCATGGCGAGCCGGTGGCCCCGTTTCCATGGTGACACGGAGCCATTTCTCATCTCTGGGATGCTCTCTGCAGCTCTTGGGTGGGGGCTGCAGCCACTGCCCTGTGCCCATGGGAGACAAGCAGGGATGGGCCCTACCACTCTGGGGGGGGGTCATGCTCCTCCCTTCCAGCCCTCTGGGGGGGCCACCGGGCCTCACATCCAGCCCTGTGTGTCCTGGGGCTGCCCCCAGGACGACCGCAGTGTCTGACCTCATCTCTGGAATGGTGAGGGGTGTTAGGGTGTGCCAGGGCCCCGTCCCAGCATGGCTGGGTGTGGGGACCCCAGCAGCACGGTCAGTCAGGCAACCTGGTGCCAGGAGCTTCCTCATGTGCTGCTGACAGCACCATGGGGCTGGGGGCCTGTGTCCAGGCTCGTCCCAGTGCCACGATGCACCTGTAGTCCCCATCCCGGCAGGGAGCCAGGACACAGGGCTGGGCAGAGCCGTGCCATGCCTCTGTCTCACCTCCCGCCATGCCGCTGTGTCTCCCAGGCTGTCAGCACAGCCCGCAGCCTCTTTATCCCCCTCTTCATCTCAGGGCTGCCTATTACCATTTCGCATCATTTTCTGTTCCCGGCGATAAATTTTTCCTTCCCAATTTCTGAGGGTTTAACTCCCACCCGCCTGTGGTGCTTGGGGCTGCCCTGTGGGGCACAGACCTGCTGGCTGAGGGCACCTGGGCACCCTCACCCCACACTCTTCCCTGGTGGGACCCAGGCATCCTGGCACCCGAGCATCCTGGCTGGCATGAGGGGCAGTGGGGAGCTTGGGGGGTGCTGGCATCGGCAGAGGGGGAGCCCCGAGGCAGGGAGATTGCGAGACAGAAGGGACAGGCTAATGGAGCCTATTCCTTTAATAGATTCAATTTCTGCCGCGGCTGGCTGCGGGGCGCGGAGCCATCAATTCGATTCAGGGGACGGGGAATCTGATTTGGAGCGGCCGTGCCATCAATTAGCTTTTATTGATGGCATTGCTCATTGGAAGTCGATGGGATTTGAAGCCAGCAGCGGATCCCGCATACCAAGCAACCCCTGCTCAAGGACAGGGCTCCACTGCTCCTGGTCCTGGCACCCACTCTGGGGTCCCTGCAGGGACCCCTCGGCCTCACCTGGGAAAGCCCCGGGGGCTGGGGTGGCAAGACGGGCAGCCCCCGGAATCTCTGCATGGAGGTCCCACAAGGCATGGTTGCCCCTGGCACCCCTGCACGGGGGTCCCGCAGGGCACAGCCACCCAGCATCTCTGCATAGGGGTCCCACAGGTCACCATCACCCCTGACATCCCCACATGGGGGTCCTTTGGGGGATGTCCCCACCCAGCATCCCCACATGGGTGTCCCTCGTGACATGGTTGCTCCCAGCATCCCGCATGGGGGTCTCTTGGGTACAGTCCCCCCCAGATGGTATCACCCCCACCTGGAGGGGTCCCACAAGGGACAGTCTCCCCAGAACCCCCACATGGGGGGGTTCCCACAGGGCATGGCCCCCCCTGCACCAGGCAGCCTCTAGGCACCATTGCGGGCCCAGGCCCCGTTGTCCCCCATGGGGACAGGGTGCCCCTGCCCGTGCAAGGATGGGGTGCAGGGTGCAGTGGGGGAAGGGCAGGCAGCAGTGCGGGGGGGAGGGGCACGGCGCAGTCGATGCTTTTGCTCAGTCTCTTGCCAAGCAGTTTCTCCCGAGAAGCCATAAAACCTGTCTGACGTGCCCAGCACCACTGCGGCAGGCGGCCGGCAACGCCTGCGTGGGGGGAGCTGTGGGGGCCCGGCTGCTGGCGGCCCCATGGGGAGCTCAGCTCCAGCTGGGCCCCCCGTGAGGAGGGCGGTAGGGGGCTGCACCCATGGGGCAAGGGGACAGGAGTCACTGCAGGAGCCTCGAGCAACCCTCCTGCCAGCAGGCAAGCCTGGGGCATGCCGCTGCTGGCTCCATCCCACAGCTGCCGGCTGCACCAGAACCATGATCCCACCAGGGACCCAGCTGTGCCATGAGATCGTCCCCGGCAGCAACTTGGGTGCCCCATCGGTGAAAGGTGAAACCCCAACTGTGGCCCCTGCAGCCCCCCACTTCACGGTCCATCCTAATGGGGTATGCAGTGGGCGGATGGACAGATGGATGAAGGACCACCACCCCGCGGGAAGCCCAAGCCCAGCCGAGGGCAGCAAGCAGGACCAGGGCGCCTGGCTGGGGGCTCTGGGTGAGCGACCCCCAATCCCATCACCCCTTCACACCTGTCCCATCCCAGGTGCCAGTGGCCAGCTCTGGGTCCCGCTGCCAGGCGCTAATTGCAGGCAGCTCATCTGTAATTAAAGCTCTCCCTGTTACATGAGCTGACATCTCAATATCAAATCGCTGCAATTAAACCCCTGGCCTCAAAGGTTGTGGTGAGAGATGCAGGCACCCCCGGGGGGCGGCTGCCCTGGCCCGTGCCCCAGCATCCCTGCGGGGATGGGGACCGCAGGCAGGTGGGCACAGGCAGGAGGGGACCACGGGCAGCGTGAGGCCAGGGGTGGGGGCTTCAGAGCCCGAGGGCACACCAATCTTGCAAACACTGTATTGCTCGGCTCAGTCACTACCAGGGGTTAAAACCAAACCGTAGGGGCCGGTGACGGCATGAAGGAGGGCGTCTTCCCAGAAGACAGATCGGGTGTCCTCGCCGGAGGACAGCGGGTGCCTGGAGGAGCTGCCGCCTCGCTCCAGGGCCTGGGGGTCCCTGTCCCCTGTGGCGGGGGGTCCATGGGGGAAGGCACAAGATGAGGTGACGGCCCTGGGGCAGAGCAGGTGTCCGTCAAGCTTTGGGGAGCCCAGCGCCGGGGCAGGGTGGCCGGCAGGGCCGATGTGCGTCGATGCCGGTGGGAAGCGAGGTCCCTGGGAGGGAGAGCCCCGTCAGGGGATGCTGCAGCGGCAAGGGGGACCAGCCCCCGGGGGCACCTGCTGTCCCAGAGCCCCTCACTCCACCCTCACCTTCCAGGGTGGAGCTCCTGGCCCCGGCTCGGCTCTGTGGAGGTCCGGCGGGTGAGTTGTGGCCCAGGGCTGCTGCATGGGCTTGGCGGGGGGATGGCGGTGGAGGAAGAGTCTGGAAGCAGGCGGTGGGGCAGAGGAGCCCATCTCCCCACCATGGGCAGCACCGGGGTATCAGATCCAGAGCAGGGCCAGGAGCGCGAGCGCAAGGCATGGGGTGCGGGGCTGCAGCGGGGCTGCAATGCCCCGGGCGGGCACCGCGTCTGCCAGGGCAGGAGCAGAGGTCAGGATGAGCCAGCCCCCAGCCCCCCACCAGCCCCCAGTCCCCCTGCCCGCCCCATACTCACCCTCCGGCCCCCCATGCCCGTGAGGCTGTGAATTGGGAACCTCCGTCACTGGCTCCAGTGCTGAAACAAACCCCGATGGTGTCAGTGACCGGCTCGCCTGGGGCACACAGTGTCGCCCCCAAGGCCTCCGGTACCCCCCAGCAGGGACCAGGCTGCCCCAGAGGCAGGGGGGGGGGCCCCCCAAACTTTTGGGGCGCAGCCCCCCCCCAGCCGCACTCACTGGTGTCTCTGCAGCAGACGGAGACGCGCAGCTTCAGGCAGCGCCCGGCGCTCTCGGGGCTGGGGACAGCTGGGCAGAGGGGACACATCAGCGGATCCCCCCTTCGGCACGGTCCCCCCAGCCCCAGCCGGGCC